CAGATGGTGTTTGTTTAACTATACAGAGAGAGTAATAGTAAACATGACTGTCTGTTTATGATATGATTATTTCAACGACAAGATGCAAAGTAACGAGAGAGTAGGTAATCGATAAGTTGGTCACAGGCGCTTAGATTTTCATTCATTGATGTGTGGCTGGAGTACGTATTTTGCAACAAAAACAGGCTGATGTCGCCCGTTTCTTCACAGTATCAGTTGATCCCTCATCCGTCACGCTTAATGTAAGTGCCCGACTTATGGCAATAACGTGAAACCAGTTTAACTTATGGTACCTTGTAGACAAACATTCAGATGGCGTTTCGCAGAAACAAGGTTCTTAATTCCTAACATTAAGACCATTATTGAACTCAAGGAATATGGTTTCAGAGTACAGTGAGACATGCCGCAGGTACGGCATCGATCGCTGGCTTGGACGACTTTGGATGTTTATCAAAGTTGAGGGTATTCCTGGAAAGGTTCTTGACATACTGCGAGGCGATCTAATTACCCTCTACCTGACTGACATAATTAGATGCAAGAGTTCCTCTCAAGTACCGCTATACATTACTGCGTTGAGGGGAATATGAGTAAGAGTGTGCAAACACGAACACCGCCCGATGTGGAGCATACGCTCGGTGTCTGTATACTGAATAACCAGGTTATGGGTACGTGTATAATCCACTCTCGCAGAATACCCTCTACAAGAGAATAGTATAATAGAGTGCATTGTGGCACGTGTTGTACTCGCTGGGGGTAAGTAAAGTAGAAAAACATAGGGGCGAGTATTGGACTGCATAGAGTATAAGCGAGTATAAGGGCGAATAGTTTACACACATTACAGAGGCATCGTATGTCAAGGGAGCAGCATAGAGGCGAGTGGGTTACACACTATATAGAGCTATCGTATGTCAAGGGAGCAGCATAGAGGCGAGTGGGTTACACACTATATAGAGCCATCTTATGTCAAGGGAGCATAGAGGCGAGTGGGTTACACACTATATAGAGCCATCTTATGTCAAGGGAGCAGCATAGAGGCGAGTGGGTTACACACTATATAGAGCTATCGTATGTCAAGGGAGCAGCATAGAGGCGAGTGGGTTACACACTATATAGAGCCATCTTATGTCAAGGGAGCAGCATAGAGGCGAGTGGGTTACACACTATATAGAGCCATCTTATGTCAAGGGAGCATAGAGGCGAATGGGTTACACACTATACAGAGATACCGTATGTCAAGGGAGCATAGAGGCGAGTGGGTTACACACTATATAGAGCCATCTTATGTCAAGGGAGCATAGAGGCGAATGGGTTACACACTATATTGATATACCGTATGTCAAGGGAGCATCTGAGAAAATATTCTTCTCATTACATCCAGCTAGTAAAGGATACACATATGAAATTATACAACTCTCCACCACGTGCAACATCCAGTTTCTTGTTGCCATCGGTAACGTATTTTGTTAATGGTTGGCATTCTGATGTTCGTGCCAAGACATAATCATCTTGTTTGTTGATGAATACATAACGACAACCACATCTGGTGACATTGAGAAAGACTGCCTCAGTAATACCATACGGTAAACACAACCACGGGAAACTGTTTCTTCTGTATCTCTGCGACGTTACTGATTAAACAAGAGCGTTATAACAAGTACACCATGCGTTCCATGGGTGCCGCCCAACATTCTTCAATAACGAAATACCCTTCTCTATCTGAACTCCAAGCAATTATTATTCCATGAACGGTATCAACAAGAGGGCTCCAGCCAACGCCCCGGGCTGTAGAAGGAATCCGAGTGAGTGAGTGAGTGAGTGAGTGAGTGAGTATGGTTTTACGCCGCTTTTAGCAATATTCCAGCAATATCGCGGAACACCAGAAATGGACTTCACTCATTGTACCCATGTCAGTAATCGAACCCGGGTCTTCGGCGTGACGAGCGAACGCTTTAACCACTAGGCTACCCCGCCGCCCCTTAAGAAATCCCAGGTTGACCGCTATTCCACTGACCCTATTCTAGTTACCACACCTTTTAATACTACGTTGACCATTTGTCTGACCAGCATTCGTAATCCCCTACCTACCAGCATGGCTAAGTTCCAGGGCTGCACAAACTGATACATGTTCCCTGCACTGACCCCAGATGTTCTTTGGTGCTGTAAGGTGGTGTCTGTTCAGCTCCTTCAGAAAAGTGCAATTATCTTTAACGGTTGTGAATGGAGTAGTGTGATCGCCTAGAGAGGAAGAGGCCTGTCGCTAGCAGTAGATACTGTGATTATGGATTTAAGGATCATTCTAGAGTACTAACATTACACTTATTTGTCTTCCTTAAAAGCGTAAATATCGATTTATCGCAAAGGAGGAATCAGGTAGACTGGTACTATACTGGTCTGTCTTACAGACCCTGATACATTTATATCAACTACAGCCCATGCAAGTCCATAATGTTTGGCAAGTCTAGATTACTGCAGTATCAGTATCTGAAAAATGAAGAGAATCACTGGGCTCCCTTTTTATTAGATTTTTATTAAGATAACTGAACAACTGTTTTTTTCTGTACGATATGTTCATTTCAGAGACTATATGTTAGTCTAGTACTGTACGTGCTGGTTTGAAAAGGTGGGTAAGACCAGTGCTTGGGTGGTATTTACTGCTTGCTTTAAGAACCAGTCTGCTGACGTCATGATACTGATTATGACACCTATGCGTCCACAATATATGGCAGGGTTTATAAGTTCATGGCTAACACATTCCGGCATTTAAATAGCTAGATTATAACTGATTCATCATACTTTTTACAAAAGCATTTTTTTAGGGAAAGTGTCTTCTCGATTTCACTTTCTTTTCCATTTTCACTCCAAGGAAGTGTTGATATAAATAAAGCACCGACTACAAGGGCAAAAATAACCATGACCTATCCATGACCTTGAATTTTTCTGGCATCCTCATTAACCGCTCTGTCTTCACTTTACCTGACACGCACAGTTCGTACATCGTGCAGCCCGGGGGCATGGCGTGATGGCCGACACACGCTGCTGCCAACAGCTACTCTGGACAGAACGACATAGCCGACAATGGACACGGATATACTAGTAGAAGTCCCGCACCATGACTGTGGAATATATTTATTTTATGAAAAAAAACCCCACAATCTTGATATGTTTACAAAAGCAAGTCTAGCCAGCGCTAGCTAGCTCTATTCCACATGAAATCAACACCGGGGAAAATTATTTGTTTATTTTTAGAGTCGAGAGGAGTATTGTGTAATATAAGATTTCATAGACTAAATGTTAGTCTATAGTGGTAGCTTTGAAGCTTCATAGGTAACAGATGATTGAGGGTTAATCATGACAGACGAGATAAATGGCAATAATATACATTACGCGCGCGTGCGTGCGTGCGAGCGAGCGAGTGTGTGTGTGTGTGAGAGAGAGAGTGAGTGTGTGTTTGTGTGAGTGAGTGAACTAGGCTAACGTTTGAAGGTAAGGGCGAAGCAGGTTGAAGGAAGTAAGAACACAGGAACTATACAATCGCCACCATCGCATCAATATGTCATAACGTGCTTCATGTGATTGGCTATGTCGAAAGTGGTCATTCAATTGTTCGAGACAGCGCTACCTGAAAGTCTTCTTCTTAAGGACTGCAGAAAGACATGTGCTCGCGCTGGGTGTAGTGTGAAACCAAAAAAAAGGAACAGGACAAAAAAAATAAATCCCAACACAGATAGGTGGACATTACGAGGTCGTTGTGACCTCCCCAGAACTGACCCCAGCCGTCTACAGACGAAAAAAAATATTCTTGATTCTTAGTGACCTATCCAGTTACCAAGAATTTCCTTGTCTGCGAACGTCTTTAAATATCACACAGGGTGACATTGAGAATGCAGCATACCTGTACAGTGACATCGTCCAGTATCAACATTGTATGCTCCCCAGCACAACACAATCAGTTCCTGGTGAAATGGTTGTCATTTGGCACCTGTGCCCATATTCCCAGAAGCGGATGGATTTAAGTCTTAACCAAATGCATTTAAGAAGAGACCACATGCTGTCTTTTTTATATCACTAGATGAACTACACCCACAGTGTCTTTCTGTAATTAAGCGACACCTGTTTTAGAACTGTTCTACAAGTAAATTTGTTCAAACTTAAACTGTAATATCTCTGGAACACGATGACAAGCGTAATTATTTGTGAACTTCAGGACAAAACTCGTCAAAGATCAATGCCGGCTTGTAAATACCAAAACTATCATTTGAAAAATATTACTTGCGTTTGAAGAACAAGACTAACGTTTGAAGGTTAGGACGAAGCAGGTAGACAAGAAGAAGAACACAGGGTCTATACAATCCCCCTTGTCCCATCAAAGAGTCATTACGCGCCTTCATGTGATTGGCTATGTCCAAAATGGCCATTCAATTATTCGAGACAGCGCTACCTGAATGTCCTCCTACAAAGGACGATAGAGAGTCATGTGATCACTCTGGCTGTTGTGTAAGAAAAAAACCCAGAAAGAAAAAATATCTCCAACAAAGGCACATCCTCAATCACAGCACGGCTCCAGCGAAGACATCCTCAATCTGACCACGGCGAAGGTCATCTATTTATAGGCAGACATTACATTACAGGTGCAGCGTGACCTGCCCAGTACTGACCCCAACCGTCTTAAGAGTGAGCGAGCGAGTGAGCGAGCGAGTGAGTGAGTGAGTGAGTTGGGTTTAACGCCGCTTTTAACAGTATTCCAGTTATATCGCGGCGTGTCAGTTTAATGTGGGAGGAAAGTCCGAAGTCATGCAGGTCTCAGACGTTTACCACTTCGGTGAAACCCACGAGCACGGGTATGGTGCTGACAAACCTAGAAACATAATCGGGGCGAACCGGGATTCGAACCCACAATCATAGGTTTCTGGCGTGCCCAAGGGACGCAACTCTGCACAGCCAATCGCGGCGCCTTAGACGACTGGGCCACCCGTGTCCCCCCGTGTTACCATGTGACCTACCTAGAATTTCCCTGTCTGAGAAGCCATTTGGGAGTACGTCGTTAAGTTTGCATGCCCCCTGTCCGTCCATCTCTCTCATGGTATGACTCTCCTTCGGTTTTTGTTTCTTCTTTGACTTCGGACTCAATCGTAGCACCTTCTTAGTTTTGGACGACTGAAACCAAGAAGCATACATTGACATATCTGATACAACAACCCATAGGGACAGACAACAAGGCATAAACTTATCTCAGTTGTCTACGGCGTGGTACTTCTCTACACACAGAGTTACCTCTCTTAGGTGGGCCAGGAACCTTTGATCGTGGGTTCGAACCCTGTTTCGCCGTGTCTCTGGGTTCGAAAGCACCATGCTCCTTCTCGTGTGTTTCACCAAAGTCGTACACGTTTCAACTCTCATCACTTCGGGCTTTCCTCGCACATGAAGCTGACACGCCGTGATATAGCTAAAATATTGTTCGAAGAGGCGTAAGACCAATCTTATAACCTCACGGAGTATACATATGTATATATATTTAAATCCCAATGTACAGATACATCTCATGCCCACCTGGCGGCCACAATTGGGACCGATGACATGCATCAACCAAGTCATCGAGCCTGACCACCCGATCCCGATAGTCGCCTTTTACGGCAAGCATGGGTTGCTGAAGACCTTTTCTACCCCGGATGTTCACGGGTCTTGAACTCATGTGGGGAATCGTCATTAGGGCATACACTCCTGATAATAAGAAATACAGCCCTGTTAATAAGGCATATACCCACCCTGTCACAAGTTAACATTCATATGTCATCTTTTCCCATTACCCCTTTTGCTATCTCTTGGTATAAACTAAAAAGTAAGTTTCAAAACATAATATGGCAGAATAAGACTACCACGTGTATTGGCTAATGAGAAAGATCAAGGGGTGGAATGGGTTTGTGTGGTTCAAGCTACCTACGCTGTCGGGGTTCGATTCCCGACATGTGGGAACTGAGACAGAACGATTGGTGTTTCCCAACCTTGGCTGCCCAATGTCGCAAAGAATCTGTAGACAGTGGCTCCCATTCACAGTGGCACCATGATACGGGCGCGGGGTGTTTCAACACGGAATATCACCACGGTACATTACTACAACAAGGTCGCCCGGGGTAGCGTTGTCTGATAGTGCGATGTCCTGACACTTCTTGTCCAGGAATAGTCACAACTCATCTACAGTCGATTAGCTCATTCGCTTCAATGTGCGCTGCCGCGAGCTCAAAACAAGGTTATCTCCTCTTGGAGACCCCCGACCGCTAGAGGGCAGCATAAAGAACCTTTGAGCAGGGGCCCGTTCCACAAAGCTATCTTAGCGCAACCAGAGACCATAATTATATTATAATATATATGGTCTCTGGCGCAACGGCTTTCGTAAGCCTATATTAAAGGATGGTGGTTACGATCATTTTTACTATAGCTACGTTAGCTTTGTGGAACGGGCCCCAGGACCACATGATGTTGTTTAACGCCGCACTCAGCAATATTCCAGCTTTATTACGGCGGTCTGTAAATAATCGATTCTTGACCAGACAATCCTGTAATTGGCATCATAAGCATTGGTTTACCCTATTGGGACACGATGACATACCTCAAACGTGTTAAGAAAAGCGTGGGTTGCTGACGATCTATTCTAATCCGGATCTTCACGGGTTCCACGTGGTGTGAGTGAGTGAGTGAGTGAGTGAGTGAGGTTTTACGCCCCTTTTAGCAATATTCCAGCAATATCACGGCGGGGGACACCAGAAATGGGCTTCACACATTGTACCCATGTCGGGAATCGAACCCGGGTCTTCGGCGTGACGAGCTAACGCTTTAACCACTAGGCTACCCGACCGCCCCCCACGTGGTGTGAAGATAAGACACTTTAAAAACAAAACTAACCCTTTAATTTGAAATGAAATGAGCACTAACTTTCAATTGTGAGGTAGAATTGCAATTGTGAGGAAGACACCATGAAAAATATATTAAGGTCTCTCGTATATATCTTCATTAGCATCCTGAAACAGCATTTTAAACTCATGTCTAATTCATTGTATTAATGTGATTATATGTACATGGTCCGAAACACATACATATACATACAAAACACATAGCAGGGCTAATCTGAACCGTACTGATGTACGCTTTTAGGCGTTTGCTGACGTAGGTTTTGACATTTGGATTCATGATTATTTTACTGAATCTTAACGATCTTAATTGAAGTTGAACTGCTCGTGACGCAAACGACGGCCTACTTCCCATATTTCACGGTCTCTGTGGAAAGATTGGGTATAACAGATTCCCAGCGAACAATCGAAACAAACTTAGACGTGTATCTCCATGGCTCAGGCAGTTCTAGACAGTGAGAGTTGAAAGCATATCTTCTCAACATCAAGCTGCAATCATCTACCCTTTGATATCTGGACCGTTGTCAGCGAGGCACGTGCTTTTCTTCACACTGCGTACAAGCGACGCGTAACGTAAAGCTGTATTTGTCAGCTCCCGTCAACGCTGTTATTGGAATTGGGTTGATGTATGGAGTTTCAATCAACTAAAGGCGTACTGTCATGTTAAGATTTAGCAATAAACAGATCACAGGAGATTTGAAAAAAACGATTTAGGTCGCGTTCAGAGTATTGCATTTTCTCTGTGTGTGTGTGTGTGTGTGTGTGTGTGTGTGTGTGTGTGTGTGTGTGTGTGTGTGTGTGTGTGTGTGTGTTTTGCGTGCGTCTGCCTGCAGGTTTTATAGTCACCGAGATACCATGCCGCAGTTAACATAGATACCCAACTCAGATACTTTATACTGACTCCGAGCCGACTAGTCTTTGTTTTAGCCCGTTATAGCCGAGCACCAGACAGGGTAACAACAAGTGACATCGTTTAACGTATTTTGGTATGACGCGGCCGGGGATCGAACCAGAAGCAGAGAATAAAGGTTTTCCTGAAACCATGTGTAATAATCTCAACAAACACGAACACAGTATATGTGATGAAGATGGGTTTGATTCTTCCATGTATGCATTACTTTTTACGATGAGCATCACTGGAGTCAACATTGGAGGTATTTGCATCAAAGGTATAACGCAACCCATATAATCAGGAATATTTTCCAACCAAACTGATTTCAACATACGGCCTGGAAACAGTTTATCTTCACGCGGGTAACACGGAAAACAGCAGACCCGTCATCTCAATCAAGACAAGCAGCGTTACGACGTTAGAACATAGACGCTTGTTTCTCCGTCCCATTGTACAGTAGGTAACTGTCTGACTGGAGACGGCCCACAGCCACACCGCTAGGGGAAGGCGGATAGTTAATTACTCAACCCCCTCTTCCCTTGAACTTACATAACGCCGAAAGATACGTTACAGTGATCGTCTGATCGTAAGCCCAGATTAATACAAATGTGTTTAGAAATATGTGAACGTTATCAAGGTCTGGTGCCTGGTTCACGGCAAACTGTAAACTCTGAACTTGTTGTCTGTTTAGGTTTGAAGGTATTATTGTAAACACATGGATAGATCTGGAGGATCTGGTTTTATAACATACACACGTGGATAATACGTTAGAGCTTTGTATCTTACAGGAACATGCATGGAACCCCTTTAGACTAACATCTAGTCTCTGAAATGAACAGATCTTACAGAAAAAAACGATTGTTAAATTACCTTAATAAAAATGTAATAAAAAGGAACCCAGAGACACTTCATTTCCTGATACCGCAGTAATCTAGACTTGCCAAACATTATAGAATTGCATGGATATTCACGGGGTCGTTATAGAACCGGGGTCTTCAGAGTGAGGAACCGAACGCTTTAACAACTCGGCTGAACCTAGACTTGCCAAACATTATAGTGAGTAAGTGAGTGAGGTTTTACGCCGCTTTTAGCAATATTCCAGCAATATCACGGTGGGGGACACCAGAAATGGGCTTCACACATTGTACCCATGTCGGGATTTGAACCCGGGTCTTCGTCGTGACGAGCTAACGCTTTAACCACTAGGCTACCCGACCGCCCCAAACATTATAGACGGATATTCACGGGGTGGTTATAGAACCGGGGTCTTCAGAGTGACGAACCGAACGCTTTAACAACTCGGCTAACTTAAACTTTAAAAACTCGACGCGCAGGTACGACTTTCTTCAATCCAGGATTTTTAGCCCTTTAAAAAAAGGTCTCATACTTCATTCGACATATTCTCCACCGAAAACACAACACTGCCATGCTAATAGTGTGTTAAACTGCCGGATTGATACACGTTATGTAACGTTTGGTAAATTCAGAGAAATATATTCCATGCAATGAAACAAAGGCTTACATGGGTGCCCGATTCCTTACCTTTGAAAGAAACGCAGGCTAATATCCCATGACGGAGACGGAACACTGTGCTATACACTCCATACTGCTTCAACGGGGGATAAATCACGGACTGTGCACAGAGCAATATCTTTGAAGGTTGGTGGTTAATTTGGAATATTGCTGTTCAGTGATGATAAAGTAAATACTAGCTGCATGAGTCTGGAACTGGTTTGCTGATGTCTGATACCACCTTGTTTCAATTACAAGTGTAATCGAGGTGATACTAGAAGGGTATAGGGTTACGAAGCTGGATATCAGTTTGCCTTAAGTGTGTTGAGGAGTAACCTGGATCTCGTTTTACGGCTCGGATCAATTTGCCGTACGATTGGTTTATGCGTGTTGATGTCAATTTTAACAGCTCATTATGTACGATTTGACGCAATTTACTCTCACATATTTTATCCCGTGGTATTTTCTAAAGCCAAAAAGTGCGGATTGGGATTACTGCCTTTAAAATAAACAAGCGTATAGTCGACGAAGTCATCTATATCCCCCGCCTTTTTTAACACGTTATGGTCCCAAACCAGGTAACTGACCCAACATTTCTCTTAGCCCATGTCAAAATAGCTGTAATGGAAATTCTAAAATATACATTTCTAAAACTCCTTAATATCAAATGGCACCAGTTCAGTATGTGCTTTATATGTAGACATGCAATGTTTGGCAAGGAAATATTTACCAGTTTATTTGTTATACTCCATAAGTGAACCCACCCTATAATAGAACCTAAGTCCAACTTGTTGCCATGAAAACGTAAAACATAAAATTTTATAAAACTCCTAAATAGCAAAAGGCAC